AGACCAGAAATAATTAAAAAGATTTTTTCATTTTTAATATCAGTAATAAAATCAATGCATTGATTTACTTCATTGAATAGTAATATTAAATGTACAAGATTTTGAAAACGATTTTTAAAAGAATTATGTTCATTACTATGTATATTTAAACTAGCATCTAACCATATAATAATGAAATTTTCAACTGTTGATGATTGTTCAATACGACGGCTTAATAAAAAGTTTTCAATAGTTGATAGAATACTTGTCATGTTTTGTGATGAAGAAATCAATGATTTTTGTTGTGATGATGTAGTACTTTTATTGCTTGCTGCTGCCATTTTTGTTTCAATCCTTCTATAATATAGAATTAGAAATTTTTATGTTGGATTACAATGAAGAGTATAGAAGTTCTTCTTCCGTTTGACATTCATATAACCCTCGATTGTCCATAGCAATATAAAATTTTACCTTAGGTTATAATATGAAGAGAACCAATTAAAAGTTAGCAAATTTCAGGTTGTAAAAATGAAAATTGAGTAGATGGCAGTGAAAACAATGGTTTAAAAAGTATAGGATTGATATAAAATACTTCGTTATCTAACTTTAATGAAAGATTCTTCGTAGTAAAGTGACAACTATAGGAAAAGAAAAAAAAACTCTATAATTATAAGAAATACAATTATTTATTATTTTCCAATAATTATCCAATCGTATGCATTTCCCATTTAATGTTGTTCTTACTATGAATCATCAATTTCGTATTCTCAATGTTTTGTGAACATCTGTTTCCATTCTATAGAATAAAATAAAATAAAATAAAATAAAAAAAACTAAAATGTTTGATTCGGATGTTTTTTCTAAAACATCAAAAACTCGTCCAATTAGTGATGTTTTACATATCATTATATTACTTATAATTATTAAATTATTTAAAACATTTGGTTTATTTATAACATACGATTTATTAAAATCTTATCATTTAGTTTTAATTTTATTTCTTACAACATTATTTGCTTCAATTTGTTTATTATTTATTCAAAAACCATTTTCATCATCATCATCATTTCGACCAAATAAAACATTAATTTATCGTTTAATTAAATATACAATATGTCTTACAATAATACGTCTTCTTTGGTTATTTGGTTTAACATTATGTGGTCCATTACGAACAATATTATTATTTGAACATAGTGATATTGTTATAATTACTTGTTTTCAAATTATATTTTCATCATCATTTAATGGTCAACAAGGACAAACATCACGTATACGTGGTGTTGTATTTTTTATTTTAGCTGTTTTAGCTATATTTGCATTTGATAATGATGATTCAAGACAAAATATTGATCATCCTGAAGGTCATTTACATCATAGATTTATTGCACATATTTTTTATCAATTAACATCATTAATTGGTGTTGCTGATCATAAAGGTGGAGTAATATTATTATTAATTGCTTTATTTTTTCGTTGTGCAATAAATTCATGGAGTAAAAAATTAGTATTAGATGTTGGTGGACAAAAAAAATTTTATGCTATAACAACATGTTTATCAACAATATGTCTTATACCAATGTCATTTATTATTTTATTAGTTAATAATTTATTTGTAAGAAGAAAAATATTTTTAATTTGAAAAAAAAAAACTTATGTTTTTTTTTTTTTTTAATTTTCTTTAGCCGGATTCAATTGATTCAATACGTTCAACATTTCAAACAACAGTATCAACATCTATAACATCATCATTATATGATAATATATCATCATTAATTATTCCTATTTTTCTTATTACAATATTTTTATTTATATTAGATTTTTATGTTGAACAATTAGCAATTATAAAACTTGATCGTATACGAACATTTCGATATGGTACATTAACAATGATATTTAGTGCACTTATTGTTTCATTTATTTGGGTTAAAACAGTACGAATAACAAGTAATAATATATGGTTTGGACGAATAATTCAAGTTGAAGAACATGAATTATCTGGTGGTGTTATTTTTGCTGTTGTTATGTTTGGATTTGCAACTGATCTTTTAATAAGTCCAATAAAACAACGATCAGGTGCTTTTATTGGTTATAATCAAGAAGGTGTACCATTATTTAATTTAACTCAACAAAGATCTCAATCATTATTACTTATATTAAAATCAAGTTTAAGAGATATTCTTGCAGAATCAGATTCAAGAAAAATTTTTTATTTTCTTTGTATTAATCTAGTAAGTAAAGAATGATCTTCTATCTTCGGAGCAACTATTCAGTTTCGATTAGAAAATTTCATTGACCAGCTCTATTGAGTGGACATGACAAAATGTTATATTGTACTAAGCTGTAGTTTTTACCTAAATGAAACTATCGACACTTTACCAAGAGCTCATTTGTATACAAAATGTCTTTCGATTAAAAAAGTAAAATTTTCAAAGATGAAAATTTAAGATAAAATTGAATTGACTTATAGAAAATCCCTATTAATACATTTTATAGGATAGCTTTGGTACTACAAGCTGATATATATATTAATAAAAGTATTAAAATTTACTTTCGAGTTGAAAAAAACATATTTCGTCTCAAAATTTTCTGTTTAGAAGTTATGAAAATAAAATTTTTTTATATTTATTTTTTGAATAGATGTTTACATTTGTTGAACTTCTTTATGGAGCTTGGACAAATTCATTAGGTTTAATTAGTGATGGTTTTCATATGTTATTTGATTGTACAGCACTTGTTGTTGGTCTTTATGCAGCTCTTATGACTCGTTGGAAACCAACACGTGTATTTTCATATGGTTATGGTCGTGTAGAACTTCTTTCGGGTTTTGTTAATGGTTTATTTCTTGTTGTTGTGGCTTTTTTTGTTTTCTATGAAGCAATTGGTCGTATTTTTGAACCACCTGAAATTAATACAAATCGTTTATTATTTGTATCTGTTGCTGGATTTGCTGTTAATATGATTGGTATATTTTCATTTAGTCATGCTCATGCACATGCTCATGGTGGTGGTAGTTGTTCTATGAGTCAACCAGCTCCCATTAAAGAACAACATAATCATGGCCATTCTCATGATGGACATGATCATTCACATTCACATGGTAGTAGTGGTCATGATCATGGACATTCGCATGCATCAACTGAAAAATCAAGTCATCATGGACATAGTCATGCATTGACAGATAATGCAAATATGAGGGGTAATTTTTCATATTGGTTTTAAAATATACGACATCGTTTATATTCTCTTTTTTTTTAAGGCGTCTTTCTTCATGTATTAGCGGACACATTGGGAAGTGTAAGTATTTTCGCTAGAAATTCGAAAATAAATATTTATATCGTAGCAAAATTTGTATCGAGGGCCTCTCTTTTTAATTCCTAAACATCTAAAATATGTGACGGTAATAGCAAAATAACATTTTGTATTCAAAATTAAATCCTTCTCTTGATGTTCTCTCTGCTCTAATAATATTGATAGCTTTCGTTTACTAGACATTGCAGTTATCAAAAACAAAAATGCTACATAAGAGAAGAATGAAATAGGGTTTTTTAGAGATCAATGTTAAGTTGTAGAGAATATTCATCGAAGACAAAATGTGATCTAATATTGATCTTATCGAAATAATTTTATTCTTTATGATTTCAATATCTAAGATATTGTAAAGCATTGTTTTCACTATGAGACTATGTCGAAAGAATTTATATGTTCTAAGTAATTTGAATTTAAACATTTAGGTTGGTGTAATTATTTCATCATTACTTATTCAATATTTTGGTTGGAATATATCAGATCCAATATGTTCATTATTTATTTCAATAATGATTTTTCTTTCTGTAATTCCACTTTTAAAAGAAAGTGCTATGACACTTTTATTACAAACTCCATCAAATATTCAATATGAAATACTTGATAGAATACTTAAACTTGATCGAGTACAATCATATTCTGATGAACATTTTTGGAATCTTTCATCATCTGTTACAGTAGGAACAATTCATATACAAATTGCAAATGATGCTGATGAACAACGTATTACAGCTCAAGTTAGTTTAATTTTTGTTTTTATATTAATCATAATTTTATTATTATTATTGTTTTTTTAATTTAGGTTCAAACAATTCTTAAAGAAGCTCAAATGCAAAATGTAGCTATTCAAGTTGAAAAACAAGCATTTTTTAATCATTTAAATGGACTTAATTCTGCTCTTGGTCAATTAGCATCATCACAAAGAACATTTTCACATAGATGACAATCCTATATGAAATATGTCCCACCGAAATGATATTTTTATTGTTATTGTTGTCATACTATATAATAAGACTATAGATGATTATTTGTTTGTCAATTTATTACTGGTGTTATTCGTTATTTAATTTATTTCATCTTTATATAGAATACATAAGCCAAAAGAAAAAAAAACCAAAAATAATCTTTTTATTAAGATCATTTATTATGATTGATATATTTTCATTTCTATACTTGAAGTCAAAGTTGATTCCAAATTTCTGAAATTATTCAGTTTTTTTTTTCTTGGAGTTTATTTCTAGTGGTCATTAGTATTAACATAACAACATCCGAAAAAAAAACCGAGTTTTTCACAATCGAGAAAGAAAACTTCATATTTGTTCTGTAATGAAAAATATTGATCATTATTTCATGAACAAATAAGCAATACATATTACGTACAATATCATCATCTAACACATTTAGAAAACAATGGGACAAGAAAAGAAAATAACAGCTTGTTTAATAAACATAAAAGAGTTAGAATTTACTTTTTCTTTTAAATACAATGACACCAAAATAATCAATATTTCTTAATTTCTATCTACATTGTTGGACGTATCATTTGTTATCACAACGAAGTGTGTGAGTGTGGATATTCATGTGTGTTGGTATTAATAAAAAGAACATCTCGTCTTCATAAAAACATTCACGCTTTCACCAGCTTCTTCATTTGAGATAGTGTACAATACGAAATGCAATATGATTTTTGTAAGAAGCTGTAATCGAATAAAATATCACGTCTGATGTTCAAGTAATTGACTTGAATGTTCAATACAGTTATACAAATCGTCGACAGATTGTTGATCAATTGATTGAATATTATCCTGCATCAATTTCATGGCTCGTTTGTAATTGTCCAGAGCTAATGCATAATTACCTATGTTAGAGTAACAATTACCGATCATGGTATAAATACTTGCAAGATCAGGATGATCTGAAGGCAAATAGATTAAGCTTGCTTCGAGTGCTTTTTGAAAGTGTTCTAGAGCTTTGTTGTGTTCGCCTTTATACATGAAAATAGTGCCAAGACCTTTCTGCATAAGACTGAGTCGATGTGGGCGATTGAGAGCCGAAGTATTTGCTAGTATATTGTGATAGAATTGTTCGGCACGATCATGATCACCCATTGTAATGAGTAGTTTATCGAAGTGAAAAAGTGGATTGGCATATACATCTTTACTTCTTAGAGGTTCAATGAGACGAAGTACATGTGGATCATTATCCTCTGTGAGTGTCAATTTCACCCTCCATATATTCATCGAATGTTCATCCATTTTTTCGACAGATTCAATATGAAAGATAACGCTAAGAGTAAAACAAATCTTGTCTTTTTTCGTTTCATCATTCAAATCGATATTGTCCAGTGATACAAACGGATTCATTGTATTATGTTGCATTGGATTGATATGGATTTCAAAGAGAATAGCTATTCTATCTGTATGAGCGGCTATTCGACGACGAAGAAAATCCATTGCAACATTTTTGTCAATATTAGTTATTAGGAATGTTGAACATGAGAGTAGACCACCACAATTATTTTTTACTAATGTTTCAAATTCATTGTTTAACATTGTTTTACCACGATAGACAACTAAAGGATTCTGTGTCAAAGCAAATATTTTCTCATGTATATTACTGATTTGTATATGAATATGTTTCATAAAGAAGGCCATCCTTTGAACAGCATCAATTTCGCCTGTACGTTGAGCATGTTGCAGCATACGTGAAATGAAACATGATCGATTGAACCATAAGAGAGCTTTTTGCGGTCGATAGTTTTGTTCGAACTCATCGATAGTACTCAACTGTTCATTGTCATGTGCATAATATTGACGACAGAAATCTAAAAAGATATTTTGAGCATTGTCATCCAATTTAAATCGACACAAGAGTTCTTTCATTAACTGTGGGTAGAGAAATTCTGCTGTTTGTTTTGTAGAATCGCAATTCGATAACAAAGATGGAGTAGCTGTGATAGTAATATAGTCGAATTCACACAATTCAACATCTTGACGTAATTGTTCACATAAAATCGTTAGATTCAATTGATACATGTTTTGATTGATATTATTCGAAAGTCTGTCGAAAATATAAATCTTCTCGATTTGTTTTAGATGACGAATACGTTCAACAAATGAATTCATGTTCGATGGAATGATAAGAAATATCTTCTCTTCATATATATTGGTCATAAAAGTGATACATGCATCTTGATCAATAAATATTCGTAGTGTACAGACGATATGATGTAACTTTGCTAAAATAGTTTCTTTTTCTGGAATCGCGCCATGATCAACGAACCAGACAATCATACAGTTTTCGACAAAACGTGTATTTTGTTGTTCTTGAGTTGATGTATTTTTTTGAACTTGAAGTGAATCATCGTTAGTAGTCGTAAGTGCTCTTGTTACCGTGAGACATTTCGACGATGTGCAACCCATCAGAAGGAATATTGATGAATTTTCAAAATGTCACTTTCTGAAATCAATAGTAAAAAACTATAATAGACGATGCGTTTCTCTTCAAAACCGTATTTCAGTGAAAAATATTTCGATTATTATCGAAATATTTTTCACTGATATAGAACTTATTTTCAACAGAATGAAATGAAAACAATAAAGTTTTTCAAATATTTGGCTCATTCGATATGAAAACATTTCTTGCATTTTCTAATCTTTGTGTATTATACAGCGGTAGTAGTATGTCGACTTGATTAAAAAAAAAAGTAACTTTTATCGGATGTCAATTCACTTTTTCCTACACTGAAGGATTATGGAAATCAATGCGGATAAGAACGTCTGTCAAATAATCGAAATAAAATTTCTTTTACACATACATCTATCTTTGACAGAACATATATATCAAACTTGAAAGCTAAATTAATTATTCAATAGCTAAAAAGTGAATAGATGAACTTTAAATATTCAACCATATAACTATTCAAAGTCTCAGTTCAACTACTCAACTATTAAAGTATTCAACTATTCAACTATGCAGCTATTCAAGTATTCAACTATTCAAGTATTCCACTATTCAACTATTGAATTCAGATATTTAATTATTCAACATCTCGTTTCATCTATCTCTCGAGCATTTCTGAATTCTAGTCACATAGTGATAGCTCAGTGAACGAGCAACAAGATATTAAAATATAAAATATGATGAAATACTTGCCACATAGAGAAAAAGTTACTTGTTATTTCGATCACGATCTGCCACAAGTTTTAGGAATAATCATCTCTACGTGCTTCTGAGAGTCCATCATAAGATCTAATATAGTGTATTAGAGAAGAAAAAATAAATTGTTCTGAACTTTAGAATTTAAAATTTATGCTTGAAATCTAAAATTTTAGTGAATATTCTGAAAGAAAAGCATATAGATCGGAAAGCTCAAAACGTCTCTAAAAATTCAAGGTATGAGAATTTTTCTTTTTCAATGTTCTGTTTTGTTATCCTTAGCACAGTGTATGAAGGTTGAGAAAGAATCGAAAAATGCTGAGATGTCTGATATTTTCTCAGAGTATTTTACTTTCCTCGCTACCTACTTCATGCCGATTGGTCATTACAAATGATATTTCAGAAGTAACTGAAACATCGATGGAAATAGATGAAATTCTGCAAAATAAATCCAAAAGGACAAGCACTACAATATCACACGAAACAGAATATGGTTTTAAAAACGAGTTTTAAATAGGCAGACAGGTAAAATAATTTAAGTTATTTTTCCTAACCTCTTGTCTTTCAGTTTCAGAAAAGCTTAATACCTATGTTGACATTAATATATCATTCTTCTATACTTCACGTTCTTTCTCCACTGTAATGTTTTTGTTTTTCTTGTACTGATATTAATCCATCGTCGATAGATTTAATTCAGTCAGGCGAAAAATGTGACAAGTTTGTTGAACTAGTACTTGCATGAAGGAGAGTAGTGTTTTTTTTTCTTAACGCATGTTTACTTCTAAGAATTTGGAGTGAACTTTTTGAAATGATTTGAAGGACGTTCTCTCGCATATTGATAATTAAAAATCTTTGTATTGAGTTTTACTTCATTAATTTGCATTATGCTACGCAAAAATCGAAACAAAGAATCAAAGACTAATAGCCAAATACTTTTTTCCTAAAAACCATATCATTAACCTTTATTGGATAATTTTTCCATTGGTTGAATTTCCAAGGCTTTTAACAAACATACTCTCTATGAGACAAAACTCAACATCGAGAAGGTATCATGTACCACATTCTAATTACTATTTGAGACGAAGAATCAAAATATCAGTTTCTATAGATAAAATATCCAGATCTCATTCATACAATGCTATGTAATCAATATTTACTAGATGTGGATACAAAAATCTGATTTAATACATATAGACATAAAAAAGATGTCATTGCATTATTTATTGAGGCAGTGAATTATAAGATGACAAGTTTTTGATTACACTTATGAGACAGAAACACGAGCATTTTCTGCAGATTTTCTTTCATTAAATCACAGAATCATGAAATAAACAAGTTATAGTCTTGACACGCGGACAATTACATGGATAAATATGTATTCCTTTAGTATAATTGGATAGAAAAGCAACGAACATCTGGAACATAATAGCCATTAGGACTACTTCAGAATGCGTTTTTCACGCAATTTTGGCGAATCATGGGAATTTTAACAACAATATTTCAATCCAACTTTTGATGTACTCTAAATCATTATCAAAATATTCTGAAATCTACAAAAGTTTCTATCATTTCTTTACGCTCAATGTATATACATAAAGAGATAAATATTTCGAAATATACAACCCTACTCAAAAAAACTATAAGAATTTCCACGTTTGTCAATAATTACTTGAAAATCACGGAGATTAGTAAGAAACTATAGAAGTTACCAGGAAATTATGAAAATTTCTGTAGTATCTTAAATTTAATGTCTATAGATTAAGAAGTACATCTATAAAAACAAAACTTCTAGCTCAAAAACAATGAGAATCTGCAGAATTTCCGACAATTATTGAGGAATCACAAGTAATTTCTCTGAAGTTCTAGTAATTGACGAAAACTCTGAATGTTAGTCACAGAAAAAAACTGGAAAATAATCTGATCATAATCGATTTTTTATACTTTTAAATCTGATGAAAGTTGATTTATAATGGTGTGATCTTCATTGATCTTTAATCACAAAGAAACGATCATTATCACATTTTTTTCGACTTCTTCTTTTACATGGGATACATATATATATAATCCGTTCATCAATTTTAGCCGTTTATTATCTATCAGTTTATTGTAATCTGTTATTACTTTTTAATCTAATTTGATGTAATATCTTGTTGAATTAAATTACTATGTGGCGTATTTAAGCGATTTTTTGTGGTTATTGTCAGAAAATCAATTATGATGTCTTTTTTGCCTTTTTTTTACGTAGACCTTTCAGTTTTAGAGAGTAGAAATTTTTATACTTATAGAGTTATTTCTTAATCTACATTCATTAAAAGGGAACCAATTATGCAAATTTTCGTAATATTCTAATCATTTCTGTAATTTCTAAAAAGGAACAAAAAGTTCTAAAATACATACAGTTTTTTTGGCATAGAATGCTTCATTTCTATGAACTTATTCTTAATCTACGTACATTAAATCAAAAGAAATTGTGAACAAGTTACTTAAAACATAGTTTGAAGCCGAACGAATGAATATTTATTAAAAATAGCAAATGGATACAAGAAACGAGAGAAAAGAAAATCCAGAATAATGTTCTTCTTCATTAAAAGATGTATTTGAAGATGTTCTTCAACTAATTGAAAAGTTAAACAGAGTAGAAAAACAAGAAGACGACCGAATATCTATGACGACAGACAACATAACCTATAACACATAGAAGAGAAAAAAATGAATAAAAGCAAAAGAAAATTTCAATTAACTATGCGTGCGTAAAAGTTGAGAAATAATCCTTGGTAGTTAATCATATAACAGCAAATTTCCGAACTTTGCTAATCATTTCTTTAATTTCATTGTAATTACTACAAATTCTGAAAATTGCTATAATTGTAGGCGGTTGGGTTCTTTCTTTGTATAGATTTATTTTTTTAATCTATATATATTACAGATAAAGAAGATATAGAAATATTGTTTCATGTTTTAGTATGCTACAACTTATAAGAAAAATTCATTAATGCTTGACAACAATTAAAGTCACTTCCTTGATATATTTTGATTGATTGATAGTATTTAGTGATAGTTTGCTGGCAATTTTCCGTAAAGATATCTGTTATTCTAGGGACTAACTAGGAGTTTTCTTATTGTATATAAGTAATTAAGAGAAATTTCTTGGGAATTCGCTTCTCGTGTCTTGGTAAATTCTGTATGCTGTCTAAGAATTTACAATTATTTCGGAGATTCTCTATTTAGGAAATCTAAAAATACATCAATTTGATTTTTTACAGAATAAAATTTATTTAATATTTGCAGTGTAATCATAAATGTCATTGTTCAGCATAAAATTTGCATGTTCTTTGCAAAAGATGATTAATGAAATTAGAAGATCCTACCTGTCATCTCTTGTGAGAAAGAAGGTGTTATGATGTATAAAGCTTTTCTCAATCGGAGGATTGACAATCAATTATATCATATCGATTGATGTCACTTTGACAAATGTTCTGGTAATAGAAAGTTGGAAGAAAAGAACTTATGAAAATTTTCTAATAGTGTTCTAGGCATCGCGGACGAATGAATTTTTTATTAGCAATACAAAAACTATTTAAGAGACATTAATCTCACGTGTCCTGCTCATCAAAAAGCGATTAGTGAAGCATGGAAAATCTGATTTGACACAAAAACTGAAGAGACAAATGAATCTAAAATTATTGCTTAACATGACAGTCTCTCACCATTATGTATTAAACATGTTTTAATCTAGATAGAATAGTAAGATTATTATAACACAATTCAATTTGCACAAAGAAGTTAAGACTATCAGAGAAATATCAAAGGAAAACTGACAAATGGAAAAACAATCTAGGAAAGAGAATCAAGGAAGCGAGGAAGTGTACTTATCTACTTCTCTGGATCTGTTACTTCTGTCTATCTCTATATTCATCTAAATTTTTTCTATGAGTTTCAATTTAATATGACTACTTGTGCTATTTTATCAATTTTTAATAATTATGTTTAAATAATACTTGAAACTTAAAGATAATATAAAATACTATAGAACACAAAAAGAAATCTTAAATTAATACCGATAGATATGTACTACACTTCTTAATAGTAACTATCTGATCATTCTTCTATAAGTCATTTGAGATATATCAATCTCTAGTTGAAAACATAATGACGAGTAAAAATGACGAACAGTGGGCGCAAGTAATTATTAGAAAAAGATACGTATACAAATATATAAAAGTTTGTTCCACTAACCATTAAATACGATAAATACAGTACTCGTTAATTGTGAAAGATTTGGTTTCCTTTGTTTTTCATTCATGGATTTCATTGTTATTACATAACTATAATTCTTCATGTGCATATGCTTATAAATCTACTATTGTTGATGTTATTGGTCGACTACAGTTACATTTTATACATGCTTCAAGTTCATTATTTTGATTGTATAAGTCATTTCAGGCACAACAGGACATACCAATCTTTCATTTGACTTTAATTCTTTACGAACGTGAGTTTCCTGAATAAGCTCTTGCAGCAGAGACATATGTGAAAAATTTAACTCTTTCAGTTGACGCTTAATTAAAATGAATGAGTTAATTAACCAACTGAGAAGTAAATAATTCGAATATCTATTAAATCATATGAGAAAAAAATTCAAAAATTTCAGAATAGACAGTACAACACAAACTACATCTGTAGTAAAATTTTTAGCTAAATCGAACTTCAAAACTTTTCCTGTTAAAGTCCGATTTCCTAGAAATCTCATTAAGTCTCGAAATAAGTTTTTTGTAAATTACCATCGCCTAAAGATTGCGAAGAAGGATTTCTACAGTTTGAAATTGATTTTGAACTTGTTATTCAATTATAAGAATAGTTTTTTGATTGGTGTATTCGTTTTTTGTCACATCACTAACAAAAAGTAAACCGACTTTTTTAGAAAAATCTTGAAATGTTCAGAAAAAACTTTAGATAGAGATTTTGTATCGTCAAGAGTTATCTGCAGTATATTCTATTTAGTTTTCAGTAATACTGTCTCGATCTGAAGTTTTCTTTTAACATTAAACCACATGAAATGGAAGTTGATGCTTTTGTTTGAATCACGTCGCTAACTTCCGTATTTCAATGATGACTTCTCTGAATAAAGATCTTTAACGCTGATTTTTCAAAGTATCTAGAGTAACTTCCTGTAACGACAGACTAGCGAAGTAGGTACTATCATCCTCGGTAATGATTTCTATTGAGCTACTTCATATAGAACATATGCACATATATTAGTAGAGAACACGAGAAAGATGAGCATAGAAAGAAATAATTTAAATAGGATGAAGAGGAAAGAAATATCAGCAGGGAACAATACCAATATCGGCAGACTTAACACACATGTAACATATCAAATTTAGCTCTAAGAGAGCTCACTATTTTGAGATGAATGCGTTTTAATTTAACATATTCCTGTTGTTAACTAATGCAATTGTCTGTATATAATATTGAAAAAAGAAAAATCTCTTCCTCTTTGAAAGCATATGTGTCAAGTTTAAAATCAATCTTATAATGGAAATACCATTGTTTTGATGAATTTAAGAAAAACTTTTTGTGCTGAGTAAATCATATGAATGGTATGTGGTGAGATGATGCAGGTGTATTCAGAGATGGACAAAGTCGCACCGCGCCTCCCCGCGCTTCCCCGCGCCGTTGCTCACGCCTACGCTACACTAGTCTGAGCTTCGATGAGCGCATGCTTAGAGCATCCCGGTATTCGGTGGAGTTTGAGAAACTGATTGGTAGAGCAAAGAGAAAGAGAGATGTGCGTAGCGCCCTAGACGCGAGCAGTGGTGCGGGGAAGCGTGGGGAGGCGCGGTCCGATTTTGTCCATCTTTGGGTGTATTTGTGGTGCTGATTTAACTGCTATTAGGGGTAGTGTTGAAAACTATGATGAGAAAAACCACGATAGAATTTTGAATGGAACAGTTGATGCTGATTGTGGTTTTGTATTTTTCGACTGTTTATCTTTTCTTCTGTGTTTTCTTTGTCAGTAAATGCCGTAAACAATTGAAACTGGTTTTCACTCTAGGTTAAATAAGAAATTAAGCATTCAACAATGGAAACATATTTGACTGTTCATGGTCTTTGCTGTTAAGATTCAAAAAACGATATCACAGATCTGAGTGTCGTTAAGATACATATCCTGCCGTTTTGTTACCATGTGCCCTTAGACATCAGTAAGCTCATTCATTTGGCACTTTAATACCCTATTCCTGCAATTATTAGAGTCTATATACTATTTATTTTCATCGATGTTGATACTTTCACGATTTGAGATAATAAGTTAGACCAATAGTGTTTCTAGAAGAAGCAAAAGGAGCAAGTTTTGTTCATGTTGAACTATTTACAATATCAAAAATTCTGAAGGTCATCATCTTTGCATACATTAGGGATCCAAAGAGTGTGCGTATGATGGTGAAGATGAGGATCCACCTACCCAAACTTTAGCTTTGCAACTAGCGTTTTGTGGTTGTCTAAAGAACACTTCGGTTTTTTAAGTGTTAAACGATTTCAATTCGTCTTGGAGCACTGCTTGGTGTTAAATATATGGAAAGACAACAGAACATTTTATCATTAGATAACAGAACAACTTTATATGCAGTGGATACTTTTCATGCAACGACCTATTACTAGAACAAAAGATAACTTAAATGACAAAGTACACATCAGATTTTCTTATCACGGTGACTACTTTTGCTGCATCACCTTTATCCCAGAGTAGTAAATGTTGGATGACGATGTGAATTCGATAACATTTATCTAGAAACTAATTGGATGGTTTTCTGTAGCAAAGCACGAAAATACAATAAAAAATTAGCAAACACTTCTTGTGGTGTTTTATTCTCACTTCTATTTTATCAGATCATTCAACGATGAATACGGTTTCCTCGAACGTTTTTCACCGTCGCCTTGACGTTGAACCATTGTACGCTATTCGGGCCGAAGGCAATTATATCTATACCAAAGACGGACGCAAAATTCTTGATGGTGGTGTTGGTTCTGGTGTGACAACAATTGGTTATGGTCATAAACGTGTCACTGAAGGTATTGTCGATCAGCTGCAGACTGTTAATTATGTACAATGCACCACGTTTACCAGCAAAGTAAAATTAAATATTCAACTTTGTTTTCTCGTTCGATCAAAGGATACATTACCAGCATAGATGTTCTCTGTACTTGGAAATATGGAGAGTAATCAGTTTTGAAAATTTTTTTGATATGATGTTCTTCTAATACAAGATGTTCAATATTCATAGTAGTAAAAAGCAAGCAATAGTACTTTCTCCATATTTACGTCCTCGTGCAAGTCCATTTTTCGGAAAATGGAATATGAACACGACGTAGTTTTGACATGTTCTGTACAATGCCATAGTTATTGAACAAAATAGGTTGTGTCGAAGATGACGATATTTCTTAAGAGCTGATCCTTAGAAAAACTTAGATTGTATTCTAAAAGCTCTAACTTTTGCTGGCAAAATCTTTTCGAAGTGGTATATGTCATATAGATCTTATTCATAAGTGCATTTAAATGAAATGAAAGAAACTGCTGGGTGTGAGTCTAATTCTGTTGAGGTGGAATGAGCTTTTTCAAAAAATTGCCGTTCTTATGAGCCGTACGTCTTTCTTCCATTTGTAGGAACAGAAATTATTGAATACTTCCTCATACTAGTAATACGTAGAAGTGAATTATTACACTCCTGCTTAATTTCTTATTTGATTTTTTCAATGTAAGAGTATAGAATTAGCGTAGACTCGTTCTGAGATGTTTGCTTCCAATAGTAAAGAATACGTTGGATTTCAACATTTCGGTTGGAAAAAAAATGTTAGAGAAATTAAAAGTTCTAAAGCGTTTGTCTTCTTGATTCATCATGATATTGTTTGATTTTTTGAAGATCATATCTCTTTGCGTCGATGTAATCGATAAACAATTCATTAATTATATATACTCTTTATTCTTCTGTTCAGGCAGCTGAAGAGTTAGCTGATGAGCTCGTCAAAGAAAGTGGCATGAAAAGAGCTCTGTTCGTCAACAGTGGATCCGTAAGACATTCAGACAGATAAAATGTTGAAATATGCATATGATTTGTTTCTAATAGGAAGCTGTTGAATCGGCAATCAAACTTGTCAGACAGTATCATTTGGAAAACAAGCAACCTCAAAGAGTTAATTTTATTGCTCGCCGGCAGAATTACCACGGTAATTCACTTGGAGCACTTGGTCTCAGTAGCCATAAATTACGTCGTGATCCTTTTTTACCATTATTCTCGCCTCATTTTCATCATGTTTCACCATGTTTTGCCTATCATTACAAGTTGGTTGACGAGTCGGACGAGACGTATGTGAAGCGTCTTGTGGATGAATTGGAGGCCAAATTTCAAGAACTCAGTCCTGAAACAGTGGCTGCTTTTTTCGCGGAGACGGGTGCGTAAACACTATACGATTTGAATGTAAAAATCAATTTTTTTCATTTTCAGTTGTCGGCGCCACAAGTGGTTGCACTCTAGCAATGCCTGGTTATTTCAAGGCGATGCGTGAAGTGTGTGATAGACATGGAGCTCTCTTTGTTCTCGATGAAATCATGTGCGGTATTGGTCGAACGGGCAAACTGCATGCATGGCAATGGGAAAATCTTTCATCTCCACCTGATATTCAAGTCAATGGAAAGGGTCTCGCTGGTGGATATGCTCCTATTGGAGCAGTACTTGTTTCAGCCAAAGTTATTGATATGTTGTCTGCTGGTTCAGGTGAATTTATTAATGTATACTCGTATCAGTTACATCCCGTTGGATGTCGAGCAACTTTAGAAGTTCTAAAAGTGATCAAGGAGGATGCGCTGGTAGAACAATCCTATCAGCGTGGACTTTTCTTAGAAAAATTGCTCAAGACACAGTTGGACGATCACCCGCATGTTGGCGATATTCGGTTAGTGAATACAATTCTTTTCTAGAACCACAGATAGCGAAAAAACAACTGATAGTGGAAAGTCTCGAGAAAGATTTCCAATGCGATTCACCTTATCATTCTATAATGATCTAGAATATTCCAGCAATGATGATTTCACACAGTGCTTTTAATGTAGTCGCAGAGGTTTCATTCTTTTTCACAAGACTTCATGTCTTATGGGTCTATAAATGGGCTCTTAACTTTTTGTCTAAGCCCTACATTTATCATTATGCATAATCACAATTTCATTCTTCGGAAATTGAACATTTTACTATTTCTTTTGTCATTCTTCAGCGGTCGTGGTTTGTTCTGGGCAGTTGAATTCGTCAAAAACAAGTTAACAAAAGAGATGTACCCATCTACCTTTCTGTTTGTAAATTCCATTGCCAATAAATGCATTGAGCGTGGAGGTGAGCGATACTATACTCTTCTAAGTCATATTTACTCTGTTCTTCTTTTCTAGTTGCTCTCTACCCTTGTTCAAAAGGTACATTCGACGGTATTAGTGGAGATCATATTATCATCGCCCCGCCGTATACAATTACTGAACAGGAGCTTGTTTTTCTTGTTGACAGTCTTAAAGCGTCGATTGATATCGTCTTGCAAGCTGATCCTGTTTAGTCTAGCTTATTTCGCGCTCATTTATTAGTGCTAACCATCTTAAAACAAATAAAACATTCTAAAAGTTGTTTCATCAACTTTCTAGACCAATATTCAAAGGCTATTTCAAGTGCAGTTTTTCTAAGCACTGCCTTTCAACATAAATTATTTGTAATTTGTCGTAGAAAAAGTATTGCACCTGACTACCTGAGTCGTTAATTCCGACCTTCGATTTTGGACAGATTGTGGATGCGGTTCTGGGTGGACGTGTGAGTGACTCTTCGCAGGTACAACCATTTCCTGTACGACACGCACACCTGCACGTCACATTCTTAAGAAACGACCAGAATACTCCAGATCGATTTATCACTGAGTACTCGTTCAATTCATAGGACAAATATCGATTCAGAAAGCGAAGACGTAGTTGGTATTTAACATCACACCAATAGAACTGAACGCTTTTCTAACACTGATAAATCATATAATATTATCTGGCTTCTTTTCGTGTTCTCTACAATGACAATCGAACAGTAAGGAAAAGTTCATATTTGATCTCGATTTCGTGTAACCAACTGGGAAGAATTGAACACTTCAATATTAATCTCAGATGAATAGACCGAAGAATCAGTGTTGGGAAAAAAAACATGAGAGAAGTCGGACTTGAGATATGATTTTCCTCAAAAGATGTGGTCAGCTCTTTTTTTTATTGTAACTCGGAGTCAAACGACTGCTTTTAGCAGAAAACTTGTGTGAAAATTAAAAAGACTTCATCCTCATGGAAATCATACTACTACAGGAGTTTCTTCACCGTTGAAAACACAGCACTTTTTATAAAATCTCATTTCTCTATTCTTAAGGATTCATTTTGAACCACCTAGGATTGTGATCTGAAATCGGGTCGCTCACAATAATAGAACTGAAACTGAACTCAACCAAGTATTTTTACACTAATTGCTATCATTGCTAGTAATTACATCTGTTTTGAATAAGTGATCAGTTCGTAATATTTAAAGCGCAGACTATAGACTAATTATAGAACTAAATATAAGTACGATACCTAAATTTTTCCCTGTCTGTTGATCGATAAGACTGTGAAGGATATGAGTATTCTTTTCTCTTACGTTGACTCCCACACCTGCACCCTTAGTTTGCTTTCAAGGAAGATAAGTCGAAGATGAGCCTTGTCACCAGCAATGAAGACAGGAGTATATTGATCATAATACAACAATAGCTGTCAGACTAAGAGAAAATGAATATTCAACTACCTATTGACAGTAACGAATCAAAGGGAACTTCTGGGAAAAAACTCTCTAGATAACCAAATGTAGGTCTAACAAAAATAACAATTATCTGTATGACATAAAGATTGTTGCGAGATCGATGGGGACCCATCCTTCAAGCCTTTGCTTGTAAGTTGTATTCATGAAAATTGATATAGATTTTTCACCTTGTTAGAAGGCTTGTAATTAGAGAATAGATAGTTAAAAAGAGAATAAGTATTAACATAGTCGAAAATGAAAAGCAGTTGTGGGTCCAGATGACTCCACAATAAACATTCGAGACTTAATGTACTAGTAGAAAAAATTGTATCACCATGAATGACAACGTCAAACTGAATATGATTGATTTTGATGCTGTTGAAGGATTCAGTGTGATCGGACAGTTGAAATCTGATGTCCAATCGTCACTACCAACACAATTTTTACAAACAAGTAGCCCCAGTGGATCAACTCTATCTTTGATAGCTTTCAATCGATTATAAATAGCTTGTGAACCGAAGAAGTTTTCTTTCCAATTTACTTCATTTGGGTCAGCTTCATTAGTGTAGCAACTTGACTGTGAACCAGTCGATAGTTGGTCTAAAATATATGCTCTACGTGTTACTTCCTTAGCTAAGTATTCTTGAATATCTTCGGGTGTTGTATCTAACCAACCCTGAGAATTGACCATATGAAGGAGAGCAGTACGCCATCCTGGATTGACGCTGTTATTTGTGTTAGATGTGTTTGATACTTGTCCACCGGCTATAAGATGTCCAAGAAGAAGCAACCCAGTCGTCGACTCACCTCGCGCTTGGGCAAAAACTTCAGCGACTTTTTCTGGTGAATTACGGACAATACTTTCGCGAATGAGACGTGAACTGAGTAGAACATTGAATCCAGTAGGATTAGATAGTTTCAACATGAGCGCAAAGTAATCATAAAATGATGGAGGGTGTGGGTGTGCGGGTGGGTGTGGGTATGAGTGTGAGTGTAGATTTCATTGAAGAATTCATCCACACCCACACCCACACCCTATGTTATTCGATTCGTTTTATATGCGGGTCTTGAATATTACGGGTATTTTGTTTGAAAACAAAATTTGATGATCAATACGTCCAAATATGATCGTATTTTTAACTATTCTACTACTAATTTCGAAAAACTTGATTTTTTAAATAACGGATTATTATATCTTTTCAGATACATGACTTTGTTCCAATTGGTATATTAACTGTAATACAGTAAAGATAACATTTTCATCATTCATATAAGAGTACTTCATAAGTTTGCAATGTGCACAAAAAGTCTTGTTAGCGTCCTACTCATGTTTTGACGAAACACAGTTCATTTTAGACCACAAGAACGGCTAATCCAGCGTTTTACATACAGTTTTGCATGCAGATATACAAAAAATTAGTTATGAAATTTTAAAACATCAATAAACACGAAGATTTAGTATCGTATTTAGAACTTCATTTATTTTGCATGGTTTTGAAAAACTCATAATGTTGAATTTTCTTTAGGAAAAGCCAACTTTCAAACCTCCAATATACTTATTTTCTGTATGTCACTCGATGAACTCTACCCACATAAAAGAAAAAAAGCAAACGACAATTTCTGCTTAAATATTGAATATTCCGCACCTTATCTGTAGTCTTATAACTATACTCTTATGCCTATACTCTAATACCTATACCCTGACACTTATTCTGTTACGAGAGAATCTCTCAAGTGATAGATGGATAGAAAAGAGATATCAACCAATCAGACAGTAGCGGTTTTTTCGTCTATCGTAAGGACAAAACCTATTGCTGTTCGGAACTGATCAGAGGCTAGCAGGGATTCTCTTTTGTATGATTGAACAATAGCATGGTATGTCCGTTTTGGAGTACTGAAAAACTCTAAATTCAATGATGTCTGCATGAAGCAATTACTAAAACCTAATTTTAAGTGAGTTCAGTGTTTTGTATCAAAAAGTTAAAACTAATATGAAGTATTAAGTAATAAAACTAAACTAAATTTTAAGTTAAGCTACATGGTCCATCCCTACTAATGATTATAATCGATTCAAATCATGTATCTGCTGATTTTTCTGTTTTTTTTTATATGACTATGTTGCACTTCATACTGTCCACTTTTAATTGGATGACGAGACATTCGGTATCGGCTTATTTTCTGTTGCTTTCGAAATTACTGTGATGAAAAATGTTCATTTCTCTAATGAACACTCTAAAAGATAGAGATATGCAGCTTTTTCTTATAATACTATTTGCCGCTCTAGTAGACCTGAATTATGATTGCCGAAATCGAAATGTCATTGCTCTTATCTATTTTAAAATAGAATCGATAGTGAATGTTGCTTGAGAAACTTTGAAACGTAAACGCATATCATGAAACGGTTTTCTTTTCACGAAAGCCCTTGTTGAAGCAGGTAAAGTTCCTCTAGAAAAAAGATTTGTATTGGATTATGAGTAGATTTCAGAAGGAATATCTGAAAAAACATGTCGTCAATCTAAGTAGAGTCATCCAATTTTCAATCCAAATTATATTGTCATTCACAATCATACTCGTACACTCCTGTATTTTTCTAATCTGCAGTTTATTTTATTTGATCTGCTCCCTTTAAAAGCTTTAATCAATTTTAATCTGCAGTTCGGTGTATGGATGTAAGTAAAAATGTTCTAGTCAACTCCTCTTACCTCATCGCATGTCCACAACCATACCCTCAAATAGATATATGCCATAGCTTACTAACAAGTAACGCTCGTCGCTTCGACTCGCTTAGCCCTCGACTGAACA